GGCTGAGGTGAGAGGATTGCCTGAGTCCACAGGTTCGAGACCAGCCTGGGCAACTTGGTGAGCTCTCATCTCTACAATAAATAAAAAATTAGCAGGGCATGGTGGCACATGACTGTAGTTCCAGCAATTTGGAAGAAGGTGGAAGGATCACTTGAGCCCAGCAGGTCCAGGCTGTGGTGGCCATGAGCGTGCCACTGCACTCTAGCCTCAAAGACAGAGTGAGACTCTCCAACTCAAAAAACAAACAAACAAAAAAAAAGCCAGGCATAGTGGCTCGCATCGGTAATCCCAGCACTTTGGGAGGCAGAGGTGAGAGGATTTCTTGAGTCCAGGGGTTTGAAACCAGCCAGGGCAACTTGGCAAGATCTTATCTCTATAATCAATCAAAAAACTAGCTAGCTGGGCATGGTGGCACACTTCTGTGGTTCCAGCCACTTGGAAGGCTGAGGCAGGATTGCCAGAGTCCAGTAGGTGGAGGCTGCAGTGGCCGTGAGCATGACACCGCACTCCAGCCTGGTGACAGAGTGCAACTCTGACACACACACAATGCCGGGCATGGTGGCTCATGCCTGTAATCCCAGCACTTTGGGAGGCTGAGATGGGAGGATTGCCTGAGTCCAGGGTTTCAGACCAGTCTGGGCTACTTGGTAAGATCACGTCTCTATAATAAACTAAAAAAAAAAATTAGTTGGATATGGTGGTACATGCTTGTAGTTCTAGCCACTTTGAAGGCTGAGGTGGGAGGATCACCTGAGCACAGCAGGTCAAGAAGTCGAGGTTGTGGTGGCTGTGAGTGTACCACTGCACTCCAGCCTGAGCAAGAGTGATTCTGACTCAAAAAAAAAGAGCTCTGGAGACATGAGGTTAGTCTCAGTTGTCTCAAACTTGGTTCAGAAAGCATCTTTGAAGGGATCAAGACCAAGCCCAGAGAGCCTGTCCCTCAAAACTGGAATGTTTACTTACACCCATACATTATTCACAGGAGTATCTGACACAGTGTAACCTAGGGGAGCCAGACCCTCCGCCCATCCTTGCTCTGTCTCCATCTCCATTCCCCAACCACATCAAGCCCGTCTCTGACCTGGTCACTTACAACCCTGGGAACTGGAAGGCTGCATCTAGTTAGGGGCCCCCTCCAGCTGGCCTCTTGTTCCTTTCCAGCGCCTGGAGCTCTGGCCTGAAACTTAGCAGATGGGGGGTTAAGACCAATGCCCTGTACTTTCCCCTCCCTTTTGCATCCCCGACTTCAAAGTCTCCATAAAGTCCAAACTGCCGCTTCCTTAACCCGAGTGGCAGCTCCATCCCTCAGCTCTCGGCCAGTTCAAAGCAGTGGATGCCGAGCTCTGAACCGGTTGCACCCTCCGCTTCCCAGCCATCTCCCGGGGTAAGCAGTGAGGCCTGCCAGGCCCCCATCCCTGCTCCTCCAGGAGAGGAGAGCCAACCAGAACCAAAGACTCAAGCACGGAGTATGTCTGGGGACTAGACTTAGCCAGCATCCCACTGGCAGAACCCCAGGTGAAGGACCAGGACTTTGGGCCTGTGTCTAGTTTGTGATCAGGACATTTACAGGCTTAGTAAGCAGAGCGGAGGGGGTTTCCAGCCCAGGGATGGAGGGAGTGGGTCATTGACTGTGAGGAGCCTAGAAGAATGTGAAAACAGGGAGTGGCTCAGGAGTCAGAGACTGTTTCTGTAGTGTTAACGTCCTGCAAAATACATGCTCGATTACACCCAGACCGATGTCTGATCATCGGCATCTCTGGCAACTTGGTAACTAGTGCCCCCACACTGTCAGGATGGCTCTGGCTCCCTGGGACCAGGTCCTGCTCTGTAGCTCCCTCGGGGAGCAGTGGGGGCCCCAGGGCTCAGGGACTGTTTCTCCCCCATCATCTGTGGATCCTTCCAGCTGTTTTTCTTGGCGCAAGGATCACACTCAGGGATGATCATGGGGGCAGGGGAAGCAGAGCAGACAGTGAAGTCAGGACGAGCCGGGGAAGGGGCAGACATCAGGAAGCAGGGATAGGGACATGGAACTAGTGGCCCAGCAACCTAGGACGAGGCACCTGAGTGACATCTTTCTACAGAGAGGCTGTGTGATGTGGTAAGAGGGTCTCCTTTCCACTCCAGACTGAAATTGGAGTTTTTACTGGGGGAGCCTGCACTGGGGCCTGGGCTGAAGCCTGGGAGTTCTGGCGGCTCACACCTGGGCCCAGGACCATGTCTGCCAACAAAGGCTGGTGGGTGCCGCCTGAGGGCGAGGACAGTGTGTCTGAGAAGTTTCTAAGGAAGACGCAGGAATCCCCACTGGTGCCCATAGGTGAGTAAGGAGTGGGGCAGGGGCCTCTTGGGGCGGTCGTGTCTCCTGGTACATTTAAGGGAGAATGAGGCAGAGGTCAGAGAGCTCAAGTGCCTCAGTGCAGAGCAAGAGCACCAACAGTAAACACCAAGGGACAGTCTTACGACGAAATGAGTGAGTCTAGTTGGGTGGTGGTGTGGCCAACTGAGGACATGGGCCATGGGGAAACTTGGGGCACCAGCATCAGCGCTGGGGTGGGAAGGGTCAGAGGAACAGCTTGGGGTCCCCAGGGCTTCCTTTCTCAAGGCCCTGGGAGAGCAGGAAACAGCTGTACCAGGACGTGGGAGCCAGCAGTGGCTGGAGAAGGGCCCAGAGCAGAGCTGGGGGGGCTATTTGTATATGGGGGAGAGGCGGGAGAGAGGAAGGTAGACATTTTGAAAATGCCATTGAGAGCCGGGTGCCGTGGCTCATGCCTGCAATCCCAGCACTTTAGGAGGTAGAGGCGAAAGGATTGCCTGAGTTCAGGGGTTTGAGACCAACCTAGACAACTTGGTGAGACCTCATCTCCAAAATAAATCTAAACATTAGGCCGGGTACAGTGGCACAAGCCTGTAATCCCAGCATTTTGGGAGGCCAAGGCGAAAGGATTGCCTGAGCTCAGGGGTTCAAGATCAGCCTGGGCAACTTGTTGAGACCTTGTCTCTAAAATAAATAAAATAAATTAAAAAAAAGAAAATGATAAGCCAGATGTGGTAGCATGTACCTGTAGTTCCAACTACTAGGAGGCTCTACCTGAGACTTCTGAGCGTGCCACTGTACTCTAGTCTGGGCAACAGAGTGAGATTCTGACTCAAAAAAAAAAAAAAGGACAAGAAAAAGAAAATGCCACCGAGGGGGACCAAGTCGACTTTCCCATGATCCCTCCCCTCCCCTAAGGTGCATGGAAGCAGGCAGGGAGCACTACGCTTGGTGGCCCTGGCCCAGGGGTTGTGTTCTCTGCCTGCAGGCTTGGGAGGCTGCTTGGTGGTCGCAGCATACAGGATTTACCGGCTGAAGGCTCGCGGCCCCACCAAGATGTCTATTCACCTGATCCACACGCGGGTGGCAGCGCAGGCCTGTGCCGTGGGGGCAATCATGCTGGGTGAGTAGCTTGGTGGGGTCGCAGGAGAATGGTCAGGTAGAGTGGGGCTGAGTCTTGACAGTGAAAAGCACTGTGACTTGATTCCTGTTCCCTACGTAGGCTCCTGGTCAAGTCCTTAGGGAAGCCCCTGCACCACCATTTTCAGGTTCCCGCTAGCCTCCTGTCACAGGCCTGTGGGGACGAGGCAGTGTTTCATGACAGTTTGCCCTAGAGGTGAGAAATCACAACGACCAGATCTGACTTTCTCTTCCTTTTTGGATCAAAAAGCAGACAGCTACTTGCTAGCTGTGTGACTGTGGCCAGATCCCTCCCGGCCTCAGTTTCCTCATGTATAACAGCAATAATCAACCCTGGCTTGCCCACTGCACGGGTCACTGTGAGGTTCCTCACAGACACGTAATATACAGGAAAGTGACAGAACTGTTAGGTGGGCTGTTTCCCAGGCTGAGGGGTCAGATGCTTGAAGCAGCTGTTGGGATCTGGGGCAGAAAGATGAGCAGGACGCTAGACTCGCAAGGGAGCAGCTGGAGGTGAATTCCTGAACACCTGGGGAGCCAGAGGGCAGGGGACAGGTTCAATGCCAAGGACATCCTTCCCTCTCCCTCACATAGGTGCTGTGTATACAATGTACAGAGATTACATCAAGAGGTCAGCACAGGACGCTGGAGAGAAGTAGAACACCCACAGGAGCCAGGGCAGTCAGACCTCCAAAATCAACCCTGAGATGCCCCTAATAAAGCAGTTTTGCGGAAAACCAACAGGTTCTTCTTCACACAGGTAGAACAGAACAGGGGACTGGTGGTGGCTGGGGAGGACCTGGAGCCCAGGGCTGGAAATCCAAGGACCTTGCCCTACTCCAGGGTAGGGAGGTTACTGAAGGGCGGGTCTCCCAAGGGGGTGCTGTGGGGACCTCTGATCCCAGGAACCCAGCAACTCCCAGGCCACCTCAGGTCCCCCCCAGCAGCAGGGAGAGAGCGTGGGAGGATGGGGGCCGCACAGGGCCTGGTGCTCATGGGAACACTCACTCGAGGCAGGCCTTCCTCTACCACGGGCCGTTTCCCTGGGGACCCAGGCAGGAAGGAGGTTGCAGCTGGGAGCAAAGGCAGTGAAGCCTCTGGGGAGATGACATGTATTCACAACATAAGCACCAGGACCAGACGGGGTGGCCATGGGGGTGGGAGGAAGGGAGCGCAGCAAGGCAGGGGTCAGAACGTTCTGTTTACTTACAAACCTACATGCCATGGCTAAGGCAAAACCTGCAAAAAAATAAGACTCCACGGAAATCCCGGAGACAGGACCCTTCCCGTTCCCTGAGCCCAAGCTCCTCTCTGTTCCCTGGGAATGGAGGCAGGCAGAGAAGGCCAAACACTCCTCCCTCACTGGGGCTCTGGGCTGAAGGTCTGTGGGTCGTTGAAGACGGCAACAGCAGCTTCAGACACTCCAACAGCATGAAGGCCATGGCCGCCCGTCTCAGCTCACCGGCGCACTGGCCCTCACATGGGGTAGTTGAGCACCACGTCCTGCTTGGCGAGCTCCAGCAGCATAGGGTCGTCGAAGAACTTGCTGATGCTCACGTCTTCACTGAGGCCCTGTGGAGAGGGCGGGTGTGAGCCCTGAATGTCGGCCAGCTAGCCCAAGGGAGGGGAAGGTGGGGGCTGGGTACAGGCGGGGGTGTCTGAGGAGCCCTTCCCTTGGGGTGTCACCTTCCCCCAGCCACACTGGGCTTGGTCCAGCTGCCTGAGGAGTGTGCAGATTACATCTTTATAATGGGAAAGGGTCCAAGATGGAGAAACCCAGCTCCCACTGAGAGACCCAGGGTTGTGGAGGACAGCAGCCTGACGGGGACACACCTTCCTGCGCCGAGTTTTGATCATGAACTCCCGGGCCAGGTGAGGAGCTGGTTGTGGCTCCAAGGGACGGATGACAATGCTCTTGTCTAGTGGATCACCAGGTACAATCTGGAAGGCAGAAGGTGTCAGACGGAGCCAGAAGACCTCCGGGGAACGCAGGCCAGATGCAGGACGCTGCTCGAGGCTGCACGTCTCCCTTGGGGCTTGGGAGGGAGACGGGCTTGTCAGGGGGAGGCCAAGCTGGCCACCTACACCACTGCCTCACCTGCCAGTGGTGGAAGACAGACAGGGAAAAGGCCTGTCCCTGGGTGTGAGTCCGGAGGTCTGTCTCAAAGCCGAAAGAGTCGATGGCTGGGATAAAAGCTTTGATGGTGTAGAGAGGGGAGCCCGGGATAGGTGCATCCTGAGTCACGTGGCCCCTGAGACAAAAGAATAGGCTGAGTCCCTAGTCATACAGAGGCCAAAGGCCGAGAAGCATCTGGCTCTTGCTGTCCCCATGAGCATCCTAGTCGAGTTACCATCAAGGAGAGAATGACCAAGAATGTTCTACAGAGAAAAGGAAAGGCCTGGAGCTCTCGGCAAGGTTCCTAGGGAAGTCAGAGGGGTGGAGGACAAGAGTGGCATGGTGGTGGGACAAGGGCTTGTGACAACCCACTCCCGACTTGCCCCGGTACCCCAATGAGCTCTCGGAGGGTCCACAAAGAAACCTCAGATTTTAGTCTGCAGGGGAGCTGGGGCTTGACCATTCCTCTCCGATTTCCTTCTGGAAAGCGGCTCCCTGGGTCCTGGAGCGGGAAGGGAGGGGGCTCCTGCTCTTGGCACTCTCCCTGACATCCCAGGTTGCTCACCTACGCCTAGCCAGGACAGTGTAAACCGCAGAGACACAGTCCGCCGGGGCCTGGACCTCCACGAAGTAGTAGGGCTCCATCAGACGAGGGGTGGCCTGCGGCAGAGTCAGAAAGGGCTCCTGAGCATGGGGATGGGGGAGGGCTGTGGGCCTCTGGCCTTGAGGTGTACCCCACTCAGTCCCCTGTCCCAGGACAGCCCCACTCTCTCACCATGAGGAAGGCAGAGTAGACGACCCTCCTAGCAGTGGGAATGATCTGGCCCCCACCCCGGTGCAGGGGCTCCTGGGCAACCACTGCATCCAGGATCTTGAACTTGACGTTCCGAATCACTGAAAAGGAGCAGGGAGGTGGAGACAGGCTCCGGGTCTTGAAGCCAGGGCAGAGCAGCATCGCCTGCTACACCACAGCTGTCTCATAACCACAAAAGCCACAATGGAGGTGGGTGCTCTAAGGGAAGAAGCAGGGGGCCTAGGGCAAAGAAGTCGAAGCGAAGTGGATGCTCCCAGTATTTGCTTTGGGCCGTGCACAGACACAGAGCTTTCCTGCAAGTTCATGTGCTGCTTTTGCAAACACCTAATTTTTGGGGGTATGGAATAAGTTCTAGGAGGTGTTGTGGTGGCTCTGATACCAGGAGGCCAGCAACTCCCAAGCCACCTCAGGTGCCACCCAGCAGCAGCATCGAGTGGGCGAGGAAGGGTGGCGCCCATGAAACCCAATCAGGGTCTATAAGCCACTCCACTCTCATCAGCCTCCTGATTTCTCTCCTCAAACACACCCAAAGCCAGATCCTTCTCAGAGGCAAGGAGCCAATGTCAGTCTAGAAATGATTCAGCTTTCCAGGCTGTACCCAACAGAGGCACCAGGACAGGAAAGGAGAAGAAAGGAGCTGGTCAGGACATGGGATGGCCCAGTGTACCCCAAAGACGGTGAGCCCACTCCACCTCCAACCCAGATGCATGGACCCGAGGGTGGTTGGGAGGCGGTGCTGGACTTACACTCATCGCAGAGGGGCCCCTCCCTGGTTCCCCACTGGAAGCCTTGAACAATGCTGTCCTTTACTGAGCCCAGGAGAGCCTTGTCCACCTGCACAGAAACACCAGGCCTCCTTAGCAGCCGCCTGACAACAGCAGAGGTGTTTGAGGGAAGGAGAGGGCAGACGCACCCACAAGAGGACTCTCCTTCACCAGAAGTCACCAAACACTTTAGGAAAAGAGCCCCTGGCAGTTTCTCCCACCCAGAGCTAAGAGGCTGCCACACGGTTCCATCAGTTCTGCTGTACCTCAGAGGGCAGAGTGTCATCCACCAGGATATTGGGGCCGGTGGCATCAGGACCAAAAGCCCAGATGGAACGTGCAGCCAGCAGATCCCAGTCATACTTGGTCTGGAAGAACTCTCCCAGCTTCTTCCTGGGGAAAGGAGGAGACAATAGAGGATGAGCTCTGGGACTGCTGTCCTGGACCACGGACCTGCCTTTCTGGAGGACTGTCACCTTGTCCTACCCACTGTGCTCAGGATAACAGCAAAAGGGGCACGCGTGGCATTGGAGATCCAGAGAGCCAAGGCCCTATCCCACTGTGCCCTGGCAGCAGCACCCTGTTCTCACCTGTTCCACGTGATCTGGACCACCTCGTTCTCTATGTCCTCGGCGAGGCCCTTCTCAAGAGGCTCAGCTATCATGGTGATCTTGTTCCTGGGTAGGATGGAAGCAGTGGTAAGAAAGGCCAACGGGACCAGTAGAAGGGGCATTCCCAGGAGCAGGGCGACACAGTGAGCGGCTGAGGAGGGAACAGCCTGAGAACCCAGGAAAGAACACAAGGGCTCATCTCATCTCCTGCTTTCTTCCAGACTGTACCCAACAGAGGCACCAGGACAGGAAAGGAGAAGAAAGGGACAAACTTCCTTTTTTTTTCTGAGTCAGTGTCTCACTCTGTCATCTAGACTGGAGTGGCAAGATCACAGCTCTCTGCAGCTTCGACCTCTTGGGCTCAGGCGATCCACTTCAGCCTCCCGAGTAGCTGGGACAAGTGCACACCATGCCTGGCTATTTCTAAACTTTTTATAAAGAAATGGTCTCAGCCAGGCTTGGTGGCTCAGCCTGTAATCCCGCGCCTTTGGGAGGCTGAGGTGA